TACTTTTTGTGTATTAAACTTTAAAAATTCATAATTTTTGTTGTACATATATATATATATATATATATATATTATGAAATTTATATTTTTAAAATCTAGTTAACGAGTTTTATCAAATAAGATCTCATTTGAATATGTAACTTTATAAAATAAAAATAAATAAATAAATTTAATATTGTGAACATTAACACTCCCATGATATGAATATTCACATTAAATAAATTTGATTGTGTGAATGTTCACATTGACCACATTGGCACACTGTCAATGTAAACATTAATGCATATTCCATCCTATTATTATTAGGGATAATTTGATAACTATGTTACTTGTACAACTTGTTAGAATATAAGAAAATAATTTAGATTAAGTGGAATATAAATAGGTGAAGAGATATTTATGAGTAAATGTGCCTTAAAATTTCAAACAATTTTTTTTTGGTTGGTGTGTGTGTGTGTGAATGTGATAAAATAATTTACTAACTCCTCTCTCCTTTTCTCTATATGCTAGGACTTATAATGGAAACTATTTTCTTTTGTTATAATTGTTTAAAATTTTAAATTGTATACTTTGATTCATGTTTTATAGATGTAGGGGGTGGAATTTTTTTCAGAGATTTAGGTGGCCGCTTAATATTTTCAAAAAAGAAAAAAACCTAAAAGTGGTGCGAATATAAAATTTAGAAATAATTAATGACTAATACGAATATAGTAAAAAGGGTTTTTTGCACCATTCCAAGTCCATTCTTGGCCTAGTGTTTGGAAACTTATTCCAACAAAAACTGGATTCAAGTTTCTACGCAATGCTAAGGAGTGAAACTGACGCCCAGTAAAACTGGCCACCGACTCCATATCACTTTTGGTGGGCTTGAGCGATTTAAGTATTTTTGGAAGCCATTGTACTCAAGGAGATGAGAATCTATGAACTTGATTTTGGAGAAAGATGAGTGGCAAAGACGTCCCACTACGCATGCCAGAAATTTATAAGCCCATTTCGTGTCTTGCAATAAAAAATAAATAAAAGACGCACAAAATTCAATTTTATTAATTTTCAAAATGTAGATACAATCTTATGTGGCTTACACCAATTGAACTCTGATTCAATCTCTAAAAATGATTGCAATCAAACAGTTGAAATAGTTGCTTGTTGTATCGAACCACTTATGCTGTGTTTGGTTGGGAGATTTGAGAATGGATTTGGAAAGGAAAATGGAAAAGGTTGGTAAAATGTGAATAAAACATGTCTATATTTCACATAGTTTCACACACCTTTTCCCTTTCTTTTTTCAAATCCCTCCCTAAATCCTCAAACCAAACACAGCATTAATGAATTTCTTCAAATCCTCAAACAAAGAAGATTGAAGAAATGAGTGTGATCAATGGCTTGAAAAGCATGAGCTTGAACAAACTTCAAATTAATCTCTCTGAAAATAAAGAAGTGGGGAAAGACTTCCTTTCAACCATAATTTGGGCATTGTGTGCTTAATAATCACAGAGCAAAACACTCATGAGACTACACACAAGACCGTAGAAGGGTCTTGATTTTTGAATATGTTATGTCAGTCATTATTCTAGCATTGTATGCATTAATGATCACATAGTGAAATGCTCACCAAGCTACACACAATACATAATAAGGGTCGTGAATTTGTAAAATAACATGTCAACCATTATTTGGACATTGTGTGCTTTAAATGATCATGGAGTGGAACACTCTTCAGACCACACACAATATCCCTCATAAAGGAAACGATTTTTAAAATTTGTAGGACATTATTTTGACATTGTGTGCTTAAATGATCTGGCTAGGATTAACGGAAATGTAATACATAAATTAAACATGAAGGCTATGTTGTATAAATTGTGGGATCACATAGAACAAATAAATTCATATTTTATATTTGCAATTATAGACTACAACATCATGCTAGAAATTACAAATAGAAAAAGAAAAATACATAAAAATAAAATAGCAACAAAAGGCAAATCAAAGCATGCACTAGATAGTTTCCTTATAACACATTTGCTACCTCACCGGTTGGGTGCTGGAGGTTGTTCGACGTCTGTCTCTCAGGATATGACAGTTGAACCAGCTACAACAAAAGCACCAACTGCATAGCCTCGGCGAACAAAACTAAGGCAGCACTCTCTTACTAGGAAGAATATAAAACTTAGAGGAAAAATTCTGAACACAAAAATAGCAAATATTTCTTGTGTTGATGAATGAAGGAGAGGGTCTCCTTTTATATACATGGAAGAAGAGAGGAAAAAGCTCTTGCAACAAATGCAAGAGATTAATTTTGCAAAACTCTCAATTGATGGCAAGATTTAATTTTGCAGAACTCCCATTTGATGGCTTTAATCCATCATCATTATAGAAGAGTTACACTTATTTTATAAACATGTGTAATGTATATAATTCTGCAGCCATCTTTTTCAACATCTCTTTCATGAAATCAACTTAATGAGTCAATTTCTTATTCAAATCTTAATGATTTTTTATTATTGTTTTTGTGGTGTAAAGATCTCACTACAAAGAATCTAAACTCACTTTACTCCATCTCAATTGAGAATTGGCACCCACTTTAATATTGCATTGAAATCACCCAAAAAAATATTATTTTTCCAACAGGCTATACCAGGCTTAACTATAAGATAATACTGGAAATAAAAATGATAGTTATACCAGACAGCAAAAATGTGAAGCGCAAAATTTTTTAAAAAGTTGTGACAGTATTCAGTGCCCCGGACCGTAAAGGTTAGAAGAAACCTTAGTGGAGTTTTGACAAAGCGAAAAAGAGGCATATTAGGTTATAGTGTTAAGCCCCAGTTGGACAATACCAATTCCTACCATTCCCAATCAACCACTTTGCATCTGGACTAGTTAGGGAAAAAAGAAAAGAAAAGAAAAGAAAAGAAAAGAGAAGCATTGTATAAAAAAGAACAGTTTACATATATACAAATAAATATTTACACATACAAAGAGGGAAGGAGTCGTAAACTATTGTCCATACATGAACCTAAATATATTGATTGCCTACTTGAAGTTCAATTTATTTGCTCGCAAAGCAAATAGCAACCCTTAAACACTATAGTGATTGTTTTGTGCCATTTCATTGTCGGTACAATATACACTATCAGAAACAGAAAAGATTATTATTATAAAAAAATTAAAAAAAAAACACTTAAATTAAGATTTGCATGATAAGAGCTTTACACTTGTTTTTACTATCATTAATCACTACAACATATAAGAGTTTTAAGGACCAAAATATTTTAATCTCTAAAAGTAAAACTTTTGTTACAAAAGACATTTAAGAACCAATTTCCATCGTCATAAAGATAGGCGCTAAAAAATCATCATGAAAAATCAAAAACAAGACTTTTAACAACAAAATTTTGAAAATGTCCGTAATAAATAAACTTTTACGGACAAAATAATTTAATTTCAAAATGATTTATGTTTTGACACAAAAAGTTTAATCCCAAAAGAATAATAATTCATCACTAATGTCTAATTTTTATTGCTAAAAATATGATGACGACACTTTTTATAACAAAATTATTTAGTCTCTAAAAAATAATTTTATCTCAAAATTTTAGTCTTTAAAACTCTAATTTTTTTGTAGTGAATCTCGAATTTGTTTGATTGAAATGTGTTCAGTTTGCCCGTGTCATAGGGCCGATTTGGAAAGGATTTTGTTTTAGCAGCTTCTTAGGATAAAGTTATTTCACAAAAACAAAAGAAAAAAAAAAGCCCTGATCAGCTTGGTAAATGCTAAAAAAGGTTACTTTTTGTTAGTGAGCCCTTTACTTTCTTGTATAACCATGAAAGGTCAAAAAAATAACAAATACCACCATAGTGATTAAATATTTTCAAAGACACTGCTGGATTGTAGCATTTTCCTCTTTAGAGTAATGAATATTCTAACTAATTAAACCATAAAAATTATCCACTAAAAAATATTGTTCATCCATGAAAGTCATAAACTATCCATAAAAAAGGGCTACACAAATCACTGGAGTCACAGAGACAATTTATTACATCATCATTCTCAACCATTGCAGAACCACCATAATTATCGACATGAAAAATAATTCACTTTCCCCTACAACCTCCTACTCCTAGTTTTCTTCAGAGACTCCTAGGATGGATAACAAAATCAAATCTATGAATGACAAATATCAACCCGATCATATTTCTTGTTGAATAAAAAATTGGAGCACCGTGCGAGCCTTCTGCACCATGCATAATTTTTATTTGAAACCGTTATTTTGTTGCAAACATAATCATCTACAACATCAACATATCCTAGCTCCATTCTAGGTTTAGCAATCTCTCCTGTTATAAAACTGTAATTACGATTTTTCAGTGTCTGATTAAAATACATTCTCAGTTTCAAGTGGAGGACTTGCTCAACCCTGCCCAAGACACAGGTGATGGTTTCCACATAAGGGAAACAGTTCCAACAGGGAACCAATCATGCCAAGGAGACAGTGGGCAAACAAAAGATTGGTTTCTTCTAGGATGGCATTCCGCATTCCAAATACCAACAGAACGCAGAACACAAACAGTATAGTTTTGTCTCATGGTCATACTATCAAACAAATACTGTATAAATCCAAAATCCACAACCATAAACAAATAGACATAGCAATGAAGAACGCATATAATATAAACATACAAAAGGGTGAACATTGAATATTAGCAAACCTTTTCTTGGACAGGACCCTTCGACTTGAGGTAGCTTCTTAGGGAGCATTATACTCACAAACCACAATATGCTGCAACTGGTCATCCACCAAACAGGAAGTCGGTGAACAAATAGATTCAATAGCTAACACAACCAGATGGCCTCCTTTACAGCTGCACAACTTGTAAATATTTGGGGCAAACATGGGAAAACCATCACACCTTCAGAGGCAACTTCATGGGGGTGCAAGCACGGTAAGATCAAAGCAGTTTAGGGGCAATAAAGAAACAGCAGAAAATCAGGACACTGAACTACAGTAAGTGCTTTAGGTGCTTTTATATTAGGTTAATTTTAACTAACTACCCCACATAGGAGTAACACCACTGAAAATTAATTCAGTTGTCCAGTATGAATGCAGCTAAACCATAATAGTTTTTAACACTTTATTATAATTCCTTCTACAACAAAACAATCTATAAGTAGTTTACAGTTATTTTATGAAAGAAATATAATTCGCTGATGTCAAGCTCCAGAACTGGGACACCAATGAATGAATGCTCTATAGCACATTGGAGGAAAGAAAGGAAGGCAAACATACAACATGGTCCTCCAACTGCTTGAAAGAGCTGCACTTTTATCTCTATGTACAAAAACAAGCAACCCAGTGAAACCCAAACTATTGTTTCATCTTAAATTCTTGTTCTTCAGAGAATAATCAACAGAGAATTCATGCAGGCCTTAGCCCTTTCACAGCCGCAGCAAATATCTGAATATTCATTGGTAGAGTCAGTAAGTTGTGTAATTCAAAATGCATATCAAATTCCAGAAATTGAAAATTAGAGTTAGACCTATGAAGTTATTATGGGCCCATGAAGGGGAGGCCAGGGGGGGGGGGGGGAGGAATGTTTTTTTCCCCCTGATTAATGTCCTATTCAAGGAATTTTTAAAAAAGCACATTTCCTAATACTGCTCTTACACTCCGTTTGGATTGTGTGGTGAGAAAAGAAAAGAAATTATTGTGTTTTCTCATTATCATGTTTGGATGAGTAAGAGGCAAAGTATTTAATAGAGGGATATAGGTGAGAGTTCTTTTTTTTTTTTTGGATAAATAAATAGACTTTATTAAAAGAGCATCAAGATGATGCAAAAAATACAAAACTCCAAAGGGAAAGTTACCAACTCCTAATCAATGATATCATTTAAAAAATCTAAAAAAACAAACAAATCCGAATCAAACTTCCTCTCCATCTAACTATACAAAACTATAAGAAGATGATTCTCAAGCTAAGAACATTATGATGAACCTCTTGAAAAGTTGGCCTATTATGCTCTAACCAAACTAGCCACATCAAACAAAGAGGCAATAATGACCACAAAAGTTGCCGACAGCGACCGACCCGAGCTCCACACTAGCTCCACAACATATCCATCACCCTCTGCAGCTAAACCAGAGCAAATAAGTCCCCACAAACAACTAGCCACAGGACAATGCCAAAAAAAATGATTCACAAACTCTGCATCTGCACAAAACAAGCAAGACCGATTCACTAAAATATAACCATGCCGCACCAAATTATCAATCGCAAGATTCTAACCTAAGACCACCGTCCACATAAAGAAAGAAATCTTAGAAGGAACCCCCGACACCCAAATGCTCTTCCAAGGAAAATCCCTCTCCACCTCCCCCACCAGAACCCTGTAAAAGAACGAAACAGAACAGAGCCCCTTTGCCCCGACAACATTCCACCCCAAGACATTCTCCCCCACCCCAGTCACACCCAACCCAACCAATATAAATACCCCATAACTCCATCAATTGATCAACCTCCCAATCCTGAATCGACCGCCGCAAGTGAATATCCCAAACCACCACATCCCCACCCCCCAAATAAGATGCCACCATAGCTTCCTAATCCCCCACAATGCCAAAAATCAAAGGACAATGATCCTCCAGCAAAGCCTCGCCACACCACCTATCCTTCCAGGAGCGCACCCTCATCCCATAACCCATCCGGAATCCCACCCTGTCCCAAAACTCCACCCTCTCCAACCAAATACCTTTCCATAAACCACAACCATGGGAACCAATCACATCCCCTGACCCCCAGTCCCCCCTAACCAACCCATACTTACCAACCACCACCCGTCTCCATAGCTGCTTTGGTTCCCAAGCAAAGCGCCACAGCCACTTACCCAACAAAGCTCTGTTGAAAGTCACCAAGACCCCCAACCCCCTGCCTTTTTCGGTTGACAAATCCGTCCCCAGTCCACCAAATGATAACGAAAATCTTCCTTTGTATTTTAATGGGCAATCTCAATATTATAAAAAAATAAAAAATTTAAAAAAATAAAAAATACACTAGCAATCAATTTGTTTCTCACCAAATCTCACCACTTTTGACGAGAAATGAAACCTATTAAATAAGGGTTCTTTTTCTCTTCATTTTGCACCACTTCTCATCATTTCTCACCAAACTTATATACCACACATGAGAAAACAGTTCTCTTTTTTTCATTTCTTATAATTTCTCACCAAATCACTTGATCCAAACAGACTGTTAGGAAATTCCTGGAGAGATCATAAGAATTTACTATAACGCTAGAGAAAAGATTACAAACCTTAGAAGAAGGCCCAGGATGATGGCTTAGTTTAGCATGAGAAAACTGTTTGTGGCTATTGCTAGTTCCTTCATGCTCGGAGTGACTGCTGGGCTCATTGTTATGACATACCAGAGTGCCCACCTCATCAGCAGCCATCTTATGCACAACCAAAGAGTTGCTATTCAGTTGACGTGGTCTAGTAAAATGCTCTACTACATGTCGATTCTTGAAGGCATTGGTTTCTAAATTCTGACCCTTCTTCGAGTACTGTGATGCTGCTGCACATGCACCAGCTATGGCTGCATTGAGACTTGATGATTTCTCCACTTCAGATGCTTTAGAATCTGGGAAGCACACAGAAATCGATCCAGGCTTCAAGGAAAAAGGATCACGTGGATTCGGAAGTTGGAACTTCACTGGTAGTGGACTTTCAACTGGAACAAGACCTCCCACAGCAGCCTCGTATATCTGTGTACTGTCGTCAAATTGTCAATCGAATCATGAATCATTTTGCTAAAATTGTGAATTGTGAATCGTAATATTCACTTGATTAATAAAACAAAATTATATATGCATATACAAATAAAATCATCAATACAATTAGTTGATATCTTTCTTATTTTGTGAAAATGATGTCATTTCAACATTATGGAAACAAAACTGAATCAATTGAATCATTGTGAATCGCGATGAATCGTAGTGAAACACAATTGAATCATAATACTCACTAAATTAAATATTCAATTGCACAAATCAAATCGTTTTGTTTGAAACTCATACCAAATCGTGGATCTTAAAATTCTACCAAGCAACAGTATAAATGAGCACAAAAGTGATCACTTGAATGAGCATATGGACAAACACAGACACCTAACTTTTAGCTCCACAAATACCTTTCTTTCCAAGTTATAGACACCATGATATCCGCGCATCTCCATTGGGACAACCAATTTCTACATTGAGGGAAATAATCCAATCAGCATGGTCAATTGTGCAGAACAGTATGCATTTGATGTACAATTATTGGTAAAGAAATTTAGAACTAAGAGTACACAACAGTACAAAACCACCTACTTGTGGCTCTTCACAGAGCCAGCAAAAATTTGTCAGCCCTTCCAGCCTCACCTGTAACGAAGAAATGGCCTAGATCAACTCAAAATGGCCCTGAGGTAAATGTAAACTTTATCATAGCAATTGTATAATAATCATCATATTGAAACGGAAAAACAAAAAGGAAAAATGTTTGGTTGCCCACCCCTTCAGGCACCTCTTTCCAACATGCTAGTTCCTCGCATCTAAGACAACCAACCACTTCAATGCAACCTGTATTATGGACAAAAACATTCAAGTTTGTAAGAATATTTCTGATACATCTATAAATACATAGATAATTTTTACTACAAAAAACATTTAAATATCTCGATTTTACAATCTAATAAAGAAATAAGCAGAAAAATTACAGCTATAAAGATCTTTTCAAACTTTTACGATTCACTGGACAAAAGAGCCTTTTATGCTCAATGTGATCTATTTTCTTTGTTCCCAATTGCCCTTGTTCTTCATTGTATGCTCTGCATCAACATCTCTCTTCATGTGAAAAAGGTGGTCAAGGCAGATGAGGAAGCTGATAAAAACAGTTTAAAAGGCATCAAGATGTCCTAAGGTGATCAAAGATATAGTTTCGTCCTACTCAAGTGATTTGGAATGTTTGTGTATTAAAGTAGGAGTGTGTCTATGGTCTTCGTCTTCGTCCCATAATAAGATCAATACTAATGATTTGTTTCAAATAAGGAGACCTAATTACTTTTTTGCTCCCTCAATGGTGCACTTAGTATAGAAGGGATGAAGAAAGCATTGACATCTTTTTATGCATTGTCCTGTGACTTTATCATTGTAGCGTAATTTGTTTTATATGGTGGATGTGGAGTGGTGGCTCCTCCCTCTTCTATACAAGTGCTTCTTATTGATTGTAGGAGATTTGGATCCAAAGCGGAAGCTCAAGTTCTTTGGGATTGTGTTAATTTTGCTATAATTTGGGAGATTTGATCAAACAGGAACATTAGATTTTTTAAAGATAAATTTGGGGATATAGAAGGAATGTGATAAGATTTGTTAAGTATATTCCTTTTCACCTTCATTCTCTTCTTTTTTATGGCTGTGTTTGGTTCATAGATTTGGGAAGGGATTTGGAAAAAAAAAAAAAGGAAAAGAAAGAGAAAAAGGCGTGTGTAACTATGTGAAACGTAGGTGTATTTTATTCACATTTCACCTACCTTTTCTCTTTCCTTTTCCAAATCTCTCTCCAAATCCATGAACCAAACACAACCTAAGTGTGATTCCTTTCTTTTTTGATTAGTAGGAGCTAGAGGGTTGTGTGTGATTTGTAAACTTTTGATTGATTTTTACATTTTTGGTGGACATCTTGTCCTCCACCTAGTCTCGTATTTTCCCTTTTAAGCTATTAACAAAAATTTTATTGCCCATTAAAAAAAATTTCACATCAATGGAAATATTAATTTATCATCTAACTACTAGAAACTACTATTATAGCATCTTTTGTTGAAATGGAGATACCAAGTCGGACACAAAGCCAATCTACAATTCATATTGTTTTGAGGTTACCAATGTAAGGCAATTACACTACTCAACTCATCCAAGTCTACTTATTACATAAACTCCCACAAAGATGCTAACATCTAACTACCAAGTTACCAACATCATTTGGCAATTCAATCATATGAAATGAACAAATCCAACTGAAAGTGTAAGTAGTTTGCCTGAATTATTCATTACAGACAGATAAAAATATAGAGACAAAAAAGTATATCAAATTTGATGTTTTCTCTGGCTACCTCTAACAAAAGATAGTCTCTTGCAAATCAATTTAGATGGAAAAACAAACCTTACTATGCATCAAGAACTATTTTAAATGTGAGCCTTTAAAATTAAAAACAATACAAAAGTAACAGAAAAAAACAAAAAAGGAAAATATCAAGAATCATAGTCATGTGATAGCAGAAATTCCAAAATCTGAATACCAAGAAGTCTTGAAACCGGATAATGCTGTGGAAACTTCAGATCCGTAATCCCATTCACAGCATATATTTCTCTGTAGAAGTCCTCCATTGCTTTAATGGTAGCATCTTCTGGAACCTTACCAGCAGCATGGATCCAAAGACGGCCTTCAAGATACAAGATTTACCACACTTAAAAATAACTTCAATAAGAGGAAAAAGAGGGTAATGTGCTTTTAGGTGCAAATTGAATAATTAAATGATTTACTAAATTGAGTGACAATATAAGTTGTATCTGTCTGATAACTACAATATAGTAATCCATTTAATGAATTCCACAATCCAGATACTAACCCAGCACTATCTACATGCTCACCTATCATACATGTGTTTATATAGGATTTTAATCAAATTAAATGTTTATAGAACATAAAAGAGCTGCTTGTTTTCTTGACATTTATCGAATTTAATGTAACTTCCCTCACTTTTAGGTCTCAAAAATTAGAAACAAATGAGTGTTGCTGACTAATGTAAGTGGAATGTTTCTCCTCAAGAACAACTACGCAGTATAAAGCAAAATTCCCACCTATTGTCACCATGATCAATGTGGATATAGACCCAGCAACCAAGTTAGGTTGAAAATTAAATCTTTTTACCCAATTTGGAAACCTAAAAAGATACTAAAAGTGGTCTTGTCTTTTGGTCAGGAAACTAGCCTCCAAGTTATAAAATAAAAATTGAAAAAACAAAACAAAAAAACTGCTTATAAGAAAACCCAAGAATCACAACTGAATAAACTGGAGTGTCAACATTGATGTTTTCAAAAGTTGTGCTAAAATATTTTAAGATTCATAAGAACTAGTTAAAACCATACACTACTAGGAATTCAGGATGTCAAGGATATATTCCAACTTTCCAATACTAATAGCTATACACCTTTCAACCAAAGAATAGCACATTATCCCTGCTTTCCACTAAACAGATTCAATAAATTTTCTTCACCCTCAATATTGTGTTTTAGTTAACTATTTATAAAAATCTTGTACTTTTGAAATAATTTACCAAAATGCAGCACTTTTTGAAATCACAACTTCAAGTCGCAATTTCAAGTTACGATTTTGTGCTGAGTCGGCCAAACTTCATGTCGACAACTTAACTAGCATGGTGAAGTTGAAATAAAAGGTTGAGCATATACATACACTTATACATAAACTGAACCCCTCTCCTTCAGCCATTCTAGCATATCCAAGAATTAAATTTAGTACTAAGAGTGAAATAGCAGATTCAACATATGCTGGCAAAGTTGCACAAAACAATATTTCAATTAAAAATCCGTATTTGCGAAATTATTTTAAAAACTACAGTAATTTTATTAATAATTAGTTAAAATACAATATTTTGGCAAAAGATCAAACCAATGAAAAAACCCAACAAGCCACCAGATCATAGCAGGAGCGACAGAGCATGATTGTAACTTCGGCTATTAATGGAATGATTTAGAACCAAGCCAACTCATATATACATATACACGCACACAAAAGCAGTTCAATTCCGAAAGTTCTCACAGAAACCAAACAGGTTAAACAAAGTGATCATTATTAGGATTGTGAAGAATAGAGACAAAGGGGTTTTGAAGTGTTTTTCCTTCTCAGCAACCAAACAGGTTAAACATCAAAAAAACAACTGAATATAGCAGAGAAAACAAAGTGAAAATTAGGGTTAGGGTTAGGTTTTTGAAGAATTGAGAGAGAAGGGGTTTAAGAGTGGGTTTTGGGGTTTGTTACAAACCTCTAATAGGGGCAGGCCAAGACCTGCCTTCGATGCGCTTAATGCCATGAACGAGCAGTGAAGCCCATGGTTGGTGCATCGTCAGACACTGGTTCCTGTACATGCCATTGTTTCTCCTTTCCATTCTCTCTCTCTCTCTCGTTCTCTCTCTTTCAAAACGTATTGAATTATAAATTCGTCCATATTCATTTGTTGGGGACGTTTGTGATCAACAAAATGATGGACGTAGTGGGTTTGATTTGAGTTTTTTAAATTAAATTTTTTGGGGACGTTTGTGATCAACAAAATGAAGGACGTAGTGGTTTGATTTGAGTTTTTTAAATTAAATTTTTTGAGAATTGGATTTTTTTAATTTTTAGTTGATATTTTTAAAATTTTAAATTTTTTTTATATATTTAGATGTATTTAAAAATTAAAATATTTGTGAAAAAATATTTTTAAAAATTAATATATATATATATATAAATATGAAAAATGTATTAAATTTTCGTATTTTTTGAATTTTTGGTATTTAGTAAATATTTTTTAAAAAAATTCACAAAAATTATATTTTTTAAACATATTTATGTTAGGTGTGTCTAAAAATTAAAAAAATTGCTTAAAATATTTAAAAAATTCAATGAAAACAAAAAAAAAATACAAAAAATAAGAAAATAGAATTTTTTGAAAAATATTTTTAGAAAACTTAAACTAAACAAAGTGATAAATTTTCAGATAAAATCATTGATAGAAAACAATTAGATAATTTTTTAGGATATTTGACTTATGCATCAAACTTTATAAAAGACTTAGCAAAAATAAGAAAATCGTGACAAAAGAAAATAAAAAAGGATGGAAATTTGATTTGGAACACAATTGACTCCACATTAGTAAAATTCCTTAAAGAACAATACAAAAATTTACCTATACTAACACTTCCTAATGAAAAAGATAAATTAATATTACAAGGAGATGAAAGTAATAATTATTGGAGTGCATTGCTAAAAATAAAATAATCAATCATATATATATATATAGATAAAAGTAGTGTTTTCCCTCTTTTTTTAAGCCTATCTTTTCCATTCACATATAAAATTCTATACAAACTGAATTTCAATTATAATAACCAATTTTATAAATTTTCTTTTTATATTCATTTGGAAAATAAAAATATGTAGAAATATAAATTATATAAAATTTATTAAAAAATTAAATATAAATATGTTATAGTTTGATTATCATATAATAATTTTAGATGATATATATGTGGAGAGTTAGTTGAATTATCATATAATTGTTTTATACAATATATATGTATGTGTGTGTGAAGGGATAAAAACATTGACCGAAAGTCCAGAGGTAAAAACATTGGCCCAAAGTCTAAACTCAAGCCCAAGTCCAAGCCCAGCCCAATAGGACGAATCGAGAGAAAAGCTTAGATCATCGATAGGTCCATAAGACGAAAAGACAGTGTTACGTAACCAAAGTCTGAGTAAAATCGCCTTCTAGAAGAAAATCTGCAGAATGCAGGGATGCCCTTAGATCTATTCATAATCAACAGTGAGAACCGCAATTGTCAGAGATAGGGGCATAGGTTCAGCTAACCCAAACGACACAACCATCTGATGATCTTAATCGAACGGAGGGAGCAATTGGCAACTTTGTTTGGCGCGCACAGCAAGATGATCCAACGATAAAGGATCAAAACAACCTGGCCACTTGTCTGACCAAAGTCTGGTAGTTAGCAGAGCCCTTACATTAAGGCCACGTTTGTTTGGCGAATTAAATTGGATGAGATTGTCAGTAAGGGGGATAGTTAGTGAAGAAATTATTAATGTGTGAATTGTTAGTGAGGAGATTAGGTGAAATTGTGTTTGTTTTGATAATATAATGTTGAAGATGGTTAGTGATAGGATTGTTAAATTATTCTTATAAAAAATCTAACAAAAATAATTTCTATATTAAAAAAATATCTAAAACAAATATAATTTATTTTTTTAAAATAACAAGTTGCAATTGCTAAAGAAAAAAAAATTGTTCCGGTCAACCGGTCGGACGTCCAGGAGGATGTCCAGGTGGACAACCAGGTAGACCCAATCTACTTACTATTTTCCTAATTCCACACTTTTCTTAGCCAAGATAATCCCCCTACCGAGCAGAATTACTAAGCCGCTCTGTGATGTCTCGGGTTTGAATTGTTTTATGTAGTGGTGTGACGCCCTCAAAATAATACAAATAACCCAACTCATAAGAGAAATGAATATAACATAATCAGTACACCTTCACATAACAGAATTCGTATTATAAAAGGGATTACATGCATTATACATTCATAAACGTTCATTCTGAATCTACAACGTATAATGTAAATTAATAACAGCAAATTAAATGCCTTATGGGCTTTTATCTTTCCAAGACATATCTTGGTTATGATCGAAAGTGAGCTTTGCTCATTACATCTTAAGCTCTTGGCTTTACAAAAAATATACAATCAAAACAAGAAGCCTTTGCTTCCAAAAGTTTCTCCGACGCTATTACCTTGGTGGAAGCATGCCATCATTACCTGAAAATGTTATGCCCAAGTAGGGTGAGCCACAGCCCAGTACAAATAATCTAACACAGTGTATGGAATTTAGCAAAGGTATAAGTACACTATGCATATACAACGTCAAAGATAAAGGCATCCACATTTTTGTATGGTCTTCAATTTCCAAACTCAATCATTAAGCCATTTCCCTTCATTTCATTTAATTACATAAGCTAATTTCGTCGTTTTTCAATAACCCAAATGAGATTACAACTTATTAGTTCTAGAACCACATTATCAACATGTAAGCACTTCAAACTTTTCTTTCACGGATATTTCGTCTGCGGGCAACCGTCAAACGAGACCCATGTATTCTTTCACGGATATTTCGTCTGCAGGCAGCCGTCAAACGGAACCCATGTAAACATAGGCTATACAAGTACTACAATTGCCATTTTACGAATATTTCGTCTGCGGGGCTAGGCACCCATGTATAATTTCGAGACTTTCACCCCAAATACTCTGGCTAACTTAATTGTAATAGAGTCAATCCCCTTTCTTCTCCAAAACAATCATTCTTACATATGCAATGTATTTAATCACAAGCTCAAATAATGGAGTACATCCTATTTCCACTCCCAAATAACCATATATATACAATGTATATAAATATAGTCATATTCAATGACAAGTACAAGTGATTAGTTTTAATTCACCTAATTCACATGCAATTTCTACAACAATGATAGCTATCCTCCACCAATAACCCAATACAATTATTTCAAAACAGATATAAAATCTCATAACAGATAGTTCATTCGAAACTACCAAAGAATGGAGTAACACAAAACCAATCCCACCATTCATATCAACACCCTTTTAATTTCACATTTTCAATGTCAATTTCCATTATTTATACAAAATAATAATTTGATTCAATTAAGGCAAATCCTCAATTTTTCCCAAATATTAGCCAAGTGCCAAAATCATCAAATCATACACAATAAATACAACATCATTTTCAAACCCCTCAAGCATTTATTTCACCTTCACCCAAAAACCCCTCATTCCATTTTATGCCCAAACCCTAGGTTTGCCTTAAAAACTCCCAAATCACATCATTGTTACACAAGATACAAATAACTAAGCTAAATATATATATGAAAGTGCAGAAAAGATCCCTATGTCAAGCTTAGAAGAGAGAGACGGGAAAAAAGCCCAAAAGTCGACGGCGACGAAACAACAACTTGCCCCGATCAAAACGAAGCTCTTGACAAGCTCTACACTTAATCTCAAAGGAGCAAGGCAAGGAGATGTTTCCAAGTGAGTAGATCTAAAGATCTTTAAGCAAAAGTGATTTTAGAGAGGGAGAGACTAACTCACAGTTTGGAGAGGGAAAAAGAGAAGAAAAGTAAAGAAAAGGTTGAGTGAGGGACCTATTTATAATGCTTGGTCAAAGTAAAATGAACTCCCAAAGTAAACCCAAAAGATCAAGTCAAAATCCCTAAAAAAGTAGCGTCTAAACCGGACTGAAATCTGGAAAAAAAAAACTCGCAGGGGTTGACCCTTTCAGCAGAGGTGTCGACCCTTCAGACAGAAAAGCAAAGAGTGCAACAGGCAAGGTGTCGACCTTTCCCAGACTGGTGTCGACACCAAATTCCAGCAAGCAACTCCCAGATTCAGCAACATACAAGGGTCGACCCTTCCCAGACTGGTGTTGAGCCTTGTAGACAGCAACAAGAAGCAGGTGTCGACACCACTAAGGCTGGTGTCGACCCTAAATTCCAGCAACACATACAGAAACTTCACCAATAGGTAAGGGTCGACCCTTAGGAGGGCTGGTGTCAACTCTAGAATAGAATTTCTAAGTTCCCAAACAATTTTTCAACGTAAACAAGCGTGAACGAACAATTCCGACGTATTTAAATCGATTCGTACTCCTCCAAAATCAAGATACAACAACACCAAAGATTTCCAAAATAAAATAAAGGATTCAAATACACTTCCCAAAAGCTTTGAAGGATACAGGTGCTACAAGTGGAATAATATGTACTTCTTTTGGTGTTTCATTCATAGTTTTAAGTAGTTGAAATTTCCTTCTACTCTTACTTAACCCCTCTTAATGTTTTTGAGTTGAAAATTTTGAACTTTGGAGGTTAGAACTTGCCTTAGGGTGTAAAATTATTTTTTGGGTTGCCTGGCAAAACTGCTCGTGCGGATTGGTGGAACCGCTCGAGTAGAACCACTCAGTGGAGGGGGTTTTACGGGCAAAATTTCTGCTCGTGCGAAATTAGGAACCACTCAAGTGGATTTAGGTGAAATTTTTGCGCTGTCCCTAGATCATTCTGCTCGTGAAGAGCAATGCCAAACAACTCGTGCGGATTTGGGATTCTGCTCGTGCAAATTTCGGCACATCAGTCTCGATTTCCATGCCCTTTTTCTCAAAACTGATCCAAAGGGAGGCGTTTTGACCACTTTTCAACTCTCGCTCTCTCTATATCCATATTTGCTCTCCCTTTTCTCTACAAACACACCAAATTTCAATATTCTCTCTAAGATTTAGCAAGTTCTACCAAGAACTTGAGAGGGCTTTTTACACCAAATCGAAGAGAGCGGCGAGGGCTACGTTTATAACCGAGCGGATCGTGTTTTTGTCGACTTTGATTTCTAAGGTTTCATCCTCTTCATCTC